CAGGTCTTTTATTCAAAACAAGTTTCTAAGTTCAGCAGCAAACAAGTAAGGATTAACGAAGTCACCTAATCAGCTTAAGTCACTATTTGTTCTTTCCTGAATATTCCTGGACTTCCCCAAACTGGAAAATGCTTGACTTCCTCAAATACGTAACGAAAGCATTACATCTATTAGTTAAGGCATATTTTTGAAAAAGGTTAAAAGACGTAATACTAATATTAGCCCGGAAGTATTTTTTTTTTTCTTTATTAAACGTCTCTGCCGTTGGCTATTAGGCCATTCGAATTCTGGCAGCCCAGTACAACTCCGCCATGAATCGTTTGTTTACATTTGTTCCGATCCCATCAGAAGTACTGCGGACATATGACAGAGCAGGGCAAACTGGGAGGTGCAGGTCGTACATCTCGTCCTGTTGGCAAAGAGGGCACACAGGACTTTCCACCACCCGAATCCTATGTAAATGCCATGCAGGTAATCGTGCCCTGTTGCCAAGCGGAAGTTTGCCACCAATTCTTTCCTATTTTTGGTTTGTTTTATCGGCTCCTCTATTAAACATTCCCATTTTTTCCCCGCTGCCTGTCGCTTTTGCTAACTCTTATTATCTTCCTTGTAAAATGATTTTAAAATCCTTTTAACAGATTCGTAGGGCAGCGGGGGATTAGTTTGTGGCATTTCCGAGGCGATCCGTGCGAGCTCATCAGCTTTTTCATTTCCTGGTAGCCCGCAATGGCTTGGAACCCATTGGAAAGCCACTCGGATTTCTTTTTTAATTAAGTCATTAATCCGATTTCTGGCACTAGTGACATTAGGATGGTTCAGGCCATTGCAGATCGACAGTATGGCTGCTTGTGAATAGCCCGGAAATATATAATTTTTTACAAAAAAAAAATTATTACTCTGGCACCCTCAAATACACAACAAAGCAATAAACGACGTAAGTTACATTTAAAAAAAACTAATTAATAGGCGAAATACGAATATCAGCCCGGAAATAGACGATCTTTATATAACCTCTCAAAACCTACCAGGCAATTTTCCTCTTTCACGCAAAACATCGTTAATGTGGCAAAAAAAATGAAATTAATCTTGTCCGGTGGACCAAAATGTTTAGGCAACGTTTCTAATTAAGGCAAATAACTCTCATGAGTTTTAATAAGGCAACATTCAAAATTATGGGCAACATTCTACTTTTATGGAGTGGACTATATCTTAATGGATTGGTAGGTAATACTGATTGTGCAAAAATAGCTTACCGTCTTTATGCCAATTTACATCTTTTGGTTACCTTGAGAGCCCCCTAGCCGGTGGTGTGACCAGGGTGGCTGCCAGAGAAGAAGTGCCGCGAGAAAACCAGTAGTTCTTGAGGATTAAGTGTTAATCTATTAGATCCTCTAATCTGCTCCCACCACTTGCCGAAACGCGGAAAATTCAAACCATTTTTGGCACAAACAACATTAGAGGTCGGTAACTTGTTTCTTGGAAAAAAAGAGAACAAACCGTGGTTTTGAAAAAAGCAAATCAGCTCTAAATAATCCTAGTGAAAACAATCTTAAATACTTCCGAGCTTTAAAGAATGAAATTACTAAATTGTTAAAAATTAAAAAAGGGAGTATCTTAAAAATAAAATAATAATTATAGAAACTAATAGAATAGAAAACAACGTAAGAAACAAGTATAAAGTTATAATAATAAAAGGCTTAGCAAACCCGAAGGTTCGATGCCGACACCACCTATCGCTTATTACATACACACCTCCCTCCACCGTTCAAGTATAAAGGTATAAATTACGTAAATGTTTAGGACCCATAACGACTGGAATTAAGGTTGAAAATAACAATATCCTCACTGACCCTGTAGACATACTACTGATACTGGAACTGATGGAGGGAACTAGTCCAGCAAGTGGGCCTATTGTGTTCCTTTCTGCCAACCCCTGACGGCTACCTTGAGGTTGCCGCCGCGTAGTTACCAGAGTGGGAATGTCACGATCAATCTCTGGGGGCCGCCGAAAAATAAAAAGTTACGGACCCCACAACGTTCAAAACCGAGCACTCTGGAACCCACGCCTCCACGTGCTAGGCCATCCCGTCCTCTGTAGACATATTAAGTAAGTTTAAGAAACACTTTGACAATATTTTAAATACGAGAAATAATGATCTATGTCCTACTACTGAGCACCAGAGTGCCGAACCGTTAATAGAAGAACCAAGTAAACAGGAAGTTGAAAGAGCTATCAGAAAATTAAAAGCAGCGGGAACAGATCATATTCCTAGTGAGCTAATTAAGGCATGCGGCAAAGTAGGAGTTTTTAAAATACAATTTTTGGTTAAAAAGATCTGTGAGAATGATAAATTGACTTAAGAATGGAAAGAATCTATTCTTATTTCGATTCAAAAAAAGGGCTCGAAGACGGATTGTACTAACTATCGAGGAATTTCACTCCTTCCGGTATGTTATAAAATATTCATATTAATCTTAACTAGTTGTATCACGGAATAAGCCGAGGAAATTATCGGAGACTACCAATACGGATTTCGACGGAACCCTTCTAATACTGATCAAATATTTTCTTTACAGCAGATATTGGAGAAAAATTTTAAGTACAACAGTGTTGGTTACCAGCTTTGTATCGTTTCAAAATGTTTTTTTCTATTGAACGCCAGAAGCTGTATAATATTCTAATAGAGCTGGAGATTCCTCCAAAACAAATAGTGAATCTAGTTAAGAAGTGTATGTCCGAAACATTCAATAATGTCAATATCGGTTATTATTTATCCGAGAAATTTGAGGTTCGTTCAGGCTTAAAACAAGGTGATTCTCTTTCACCTGTCGTATTTAATATGGCATTAGAACATGCCATTAGAGAGATGATACATACCGAAAAAGGTTTGAACTTGGGTAGAACGATACCCATGCCTAGGTATGCTGATGATTTAGTACTGTTAAGCGAAGATACGGGAACAATAAAACTAAATGCAACAACGTTGATGAAAGCTGGTAAAGGACTGGAGCTCGAAATAAATACGGATAAGACAAAATATATCGTTAGCAGCAAAAACAGTGATAATTTCGGTGGTATCGATATAGGAATTAGTGGTGTGTTTGAACATGTAGAGAATTTTAGGTATCTAGGGTCTACGATAACTATAAAAAACGAAAATGAAGAGGAGATTAAGGTTAGGTTGAAGGCGGAAAATACTTGTTATTTTTCTTTGTTACAATTACTTAGCCCGCGGTTCTTGTCCCGAAACTTAAAAATTAGAATTTACAAAACCATTACCTTGCCTACGGTTCTCTATGGATGCGAAACGTGGCCGCATACATTAAGGGATGAATAATGTCTTAAGATTTTTATAAATAATGTATTGCTCAGAATATTCGGACCGAAGAAGGGTGAGTCAACCGAAGAATTTAGGCGGTTACACAACGCTGAATTGTTCGAACTGTACCCGGTTAATATAATTGAGATGATGCGATGATTAACTTGAAAAATGGGGATGTAAAGTCGCTGGGATTGGTAACGAAAGAATTCTTTAAAAAATATGCGCTGTGCAACTGGCAAGCGTCCGAGGGGTAGACGAGGGTGAGTTAAGGCTGAAGTTGCGTGGTCGGCTTTAGACGGCGCCCGGTGGATAGAAGATTGTAGACATCGATTGGTGGTATTAGTATCGAACCTTCGGGTTCGCTAAGCCTTATTGTTATTATATAGGAGGACAAGGTCTTTTTATTGGATTTTTTAAAAAATATTATGTTTTTTGGACGTTTCGGGAAATATTCTTCCCATCATCAGGAACATATAATTTATAGTTGTCGTTTTTGTCAATTCTTCTAAAGAATAATAATTAACTATAAAAAACGAAAATGAAGAGGAGATTAAGGTTAGGTTGAAGGCGGAAAATACTTGTTATTTTTCTTTGTTACAATTACTTAGCCCGCGGCTCTTGTCCCGAAACTTAAAAATTAGAATTTACAAAACCATTACCTTGCCTACGGTTCTCTATGGATGCGAAACGTGGCCGCATACATTAAGGGATGAATAATGTCTTAAGATTTTTATAAATAATGTATTGCTCAGAATATTCGGACCGAAGAAGGGTGAGTCAACCGAAGAATTTAGGCGGTTACACAACGCTGAATTGTTCGAACTGTACCCGGTTAATATAATTGAGATGATGCGATGATTAACTTGAAAAATGGGGATGTAAAGTCGCTGGGATTGGTAACGAAAGAATTCTTTAAAAAATATGCGCTGTGCAACTGGCAAGCGTCCGAGGGGTAGACGAGGGTGAGTTAAGGCTGAAGTTGCGTGGTCGGCTTTAGACGGCGCCCGGTGGATAGAAGATTGTAGACATCGATTGGTGGTATTAGTATCGAACCTTCGGGTTCGCTAAGCCTTATTGTTATTATATAGGAGGACAAGGTCTTTTTATTGGATTTTTTAAAAAATATTATGTTTTTTGGACGTTTCGGGAAATATTCTTCCTATCATCAGGAACATATAATTTATAGTTGTCTTTTTTGTCAATTCTTCTTAAGAAATAATAGACATATGCACTATATCGAAAGTTATCAAGGACGGCGTGGTTGCGATATCGATCCGTTTTGGAACCCCTATAACACGATTCTGCAATTTTTAGAGATGTCAGTTGTATATATATAATTCATGTCCTCTGTCCACTCTCTTATAACAATATCCCGACCTTCTGGCCTTTATACCCCTTTTAACAGATCTACCTCTTTTCAAATTCAATCTACTTCTTTCAAAATCCTTCGTTGTCCGCTCCGCTAATTTATGGAATTCCCACCCTTTAAAAATCCGCCATGCTTTCTTCTGGTTTACGTTTAAAATCCTCTTATTCCAATTCCTTTTCACAAAACACCAATCAGAAATAGCGAACCACGTGTTAAGTTCTGTCCAGTTTCAGTGAATTGTTTAAAAATTAATGCTTTCTATATAGTCCAAGCTTCGCATCTTCAAGACAAATGTTATGTCGGTTCTGCTATATGCTTGCGAGACTTGGAAACTTAGCCAACAGGTGACCAAGAAGCCATAGACATTCGTCAATAGAAGTCTTCGGAATATATTGCGAATATGGTGGTCGGAAACAATCTCTAATGCCGAGCTCTGGTCGCGAGCTAATCAAGTCCTGATAGATCAGATCATTAAACATTGGAAATGGAGATGGCTGGGGTATAGTCTTAGAAATGAGCATAACACGACAGAGTCTGGATTGGAACCCCCAAAGCCAGCGAAGACACGGAAGGCCTACAGAAACGTGGAGGAGGGCTTTAAAGAAGGAAATGCGCAGCGCCGGACAGACCTGGTCTGGAGTCAAGGAGCTGGCAAAAGATCGAGACGCGTGGCAGACCTTCGTGACAGCCCTATGTCCTACCAAAGGGGTTAATAATAATAATAAAGGATCATACGGTCCAGCTCAATTTTAATAATTGATAAAGAAAAGAAAATAGCGTCTATTATAGAAATGATCATATTTTTCAACCTCTCAAGTAAAAATACCCCAGCAAAAATGACAACAATTAATTGTAGAAAAGCTTTTATTTCCAGTTTTTCCAGGATCTGGGATGTATTTCAATAAACCCAATTGCCTAAACACACATTTTATTTATAGAAACAATTAATTTGATAAATAGTAATTTTTCAAATATTTTTCCGGTAAATCGGTTTTAAACTGTTTTTCACCGAGATCTCCATTATTGAAATTGATATGTATTTGTTAATGACAAACTAAATGTTCCTGATTCTAATATTAACGTTTTCATTAAAATAATTGAAGCAATCAGCAAGGTTATTTTTATTTTAAACGTAAATTTTGGAACTATAAAGTTTTATTTTGTCACTCAATAATACATATCGATTCCTATAACGGTGATCTGGGTCACAGTTTATAACCAATTTATACGAAAAATACTTGAAAAATTAGCATTTTTCAATTTTTCTTTTTTTTATAAATAAAATGTTTTAATAAACCTTTATTGTTATTATTATTAATATGTATTATAATAAACCCAATTGTCTGGGTTTATTATAATACATCCCAGATCATAGAAAAACAGGAAATCAAAGCTTTGCAACAATTAATTGCAGTCATTTTTTAATTGACTCTGTTGCCTACGTTCTTATTCTTAGCAAAAGATCATATTTCTGTTGGTTTAAAATGCCAAAAGTATTTTCATCAATGTTGAAACCTTGGATTGACATGAAATAGTTCTAACAACTGATGGAAAACGAGTGGTACCAGGCCAAGTGGTCACGGGCGGATCTACGGAGGGGGTAGGGAGGGGGGGGGGGCTTCGGGCTGAAGCCCCCTCCCCAAAATGGTAAATTATAATTATGTTTTATGGAAAAATATATTAAAAAATTATCTCTTAAAGTATTATTGTTCGTGTAATTACATTTGAAAGGACTTGAGGAACCACTTAAACACAATTTCATATAGACAGTTAGTTTCTTTCTTTTTTCCAAAGTAATTATCGTCATTTTTAAGAAAAAAAAAAGATTTCGGGATGAAGCCCCCAAAATTAAATCCTGGATCCGCTAGAGCAAGGGGTTGTAACTTTAAATGAAAAATGGAAGAAGTTTCTATAAAAAATTCAGGGCTTACAATTCTGGAAGGTATTAATTTTAAGGTATTTTAATTAATTAATTTTAAGGTATACAATTTTAAATGGCGAAGATTCAATCGTTCACAGCGACATTAACATCAACCCGGTAATTTTCAATGGATGAAAATTTGTCTCTATCACGCCTTTTGATGTAGATAGATCATTTTCTAATTATAAAAATATTTTATAAAAGATTAGGTTTTACAGAAGCAAATTTAGTGGTTTCTGGTAACTAATTTTAATACAGAACATGCCTGCAAATTAGACTAATTCAAATATTTCATTTATTTCAAGCTATTTATTCCACAAGTTGTTAATTATGTTATTGTTTCAACAAATACTTATGTTAAATTTTTATCCATTAACATACAAAATTTTAAAGCGTTTACATACTTATTGTGCCATATTTGTTACCTTTTACTAATGTGCTTATTTAATCATGTGTTAATACAATGATTGTTTTTTTTCGTTTGTATACACTTTGATATTTAAATTTTTAGTTTGATTCATGTTCCCCTTTCGTTACCATTATCATGTATATATTTTCATTACAATCTTATTAGCTGTATATGTTTAGTTTTTTTCTTTCTTTAATTTAGATATTAAAAAAAAAAAGCTGAAATTATTGAAATTTTCAACCCCTCCATAATTTCTTTCCGTTTCAAAACTTCTTGAAGGTACGTCATTATATTTAAATACTTTATTGCCTAATTAGTTATCAAGCTATTAGTAAGTTTAGTATATATAGAGATCACTTACTGCATTTTTCATGTTTTTTTACTGAATATTTCAGGGTTTTTTACTGCATATTATATAGCATAATTTGTGGGTTTTTACTGCATAAAAATCCGGGCCTTGGTTATGAAGTATACGATTAACTTTATGTTATATTTCTTTTAGCTAGATTTAGGTTAATCTTTGTCCATTGTTGAATTAGAATTAGATTTTTCTCACGTTACATGTTACATCTATCTTAGGTATTTATTCAATTATCAGATTCTTTCAAAAGTTATAGTTTGCATTTTTTCGCTAAATATTTTACAAAGCTGTTAATTTTTTCACAATGATTTATTATTTCCAAACAATTATACATCTAAAGTAACATTACCTTCCTAATTACAAAGAAAAAGAAATAAAAGGTGATTCCAATTATTTTACTAACCTTTTTTTTTAATCATTAGTAATATGATAAAAAAATTAGCATTACTTCTGTAACACATTCAAAATTCAAAAACCAAAACAAAGGATATAACCTTTGCTGTAGAACATGTAAAAAAAAAACTAGAGACCATATCTTTGCTCCTAATTGTCCGATTTTAACGATTTTTTTTAGAATTCCGCAAACTTTTAAGGTAAGGATCATCCTCAAGTGACCTCTGATTTTATATACAAATTTGACAAAAATCTGTAGTTTCGGAGGAAATAGGCGTACGGCGAACGGACAAAAATCCTTGTATTCGTTCTTCGAATTCTACGTATCCTGAAACGTAAAACCTCAAATTTTGAGAGGGGGTTAAGTTTTTGAATTTTTTGGTCGATCAAAATGGTTCATTATTGAAAATAATAAACCAAAAATATTTTAAAATCGTGATATCTCAACCTTTGATTTCGATGAAACTTCCTTAATTTTTTAGGAAATTTGAGTAACTTTGAAACATCTTATCACAATATCAACAAAAAAGTGTATACTTTTTCAGTTATTCGGAATCTAATTTTACCATCCCTCGTAACTTTTTTTCCAGCTTTTTTTCATTGAAGTATGTAATATTGATAAATTTAAAGGGCGTCGAGGAATTGAATTGACTTCAGCGAAGTTTCATTGAAATCCGTACATTCGTTTAGGCGCTAGAATCTATAGCAACGGAGGTTTTTCGGCAGCCATTTTGAAAGTAAAAGGCGGATAGTAATGTCGATGACGGAGGATCAACCTCGAGTGACCTCTGATTTAATATACAAATTTTGAAAAAAAAAAAAAAAAACGGTCTTGTAGTTTCGGAGAAAATGCGCGGATGGCGGATAGACAAAAAAATTGTTATTCATTTTTCGGATTCTACATATTTTAAAACGTAAAACCTCAAATTTTGAGAGAGGGTTAAGTTTTTGAATTTTTTTATATTTATTAGCGAGGGAACGATACCCCAATACAAATGGAGAGGGAGCAAGAATATTTTGCCTTACTCCCTTCCCTTACTGCCCCACTCCCCCCATTATATCGAAGAAAAAAATAAAATCAAAATCAATAACAATTAATCGAAATGAAAGAATAAAATATGTAAACTAAATTCAATTCGAAATTCGGGAAAAGTCGATTAGATGGCTAAGCCAAGACCTAGAAGTTGGTACGCAAATATTTTACCACGCTCTATGTATCCATTATTGAAATATAAGTTTATATTCAAAGATAATTTTATATCCTTGTAGCTATATATCCTAGTATTTTATTATGCATTCATGAGTACCCTTCCATTTTTACGTAAACATTTTATCACATCTTCCGCGGCGAATTTTAAGCATCATACATTTGATAATTCATATCACTGCTTCAAACCTTTAAATAAAAATAAAAATACGTAATATATTCAATTACTTAGTTAACATACATACATACATAAAAAGAACTAATATAAAGATATACATACATTTATTTTTATAAACAGTATTATATTGTTCTTTTTACAATAATTATGTTGATTATAACTTATAATTTTTATACATAATATAAACTCTCCAGACTTTTTGTGTAGATTCCGTTTTTGGGGCTACATTTTGCCACAGTCATCTCAAAAATGTTTGATGAGTAGCTGTTACCACTACATACTATCAAGATATTACGGCGACAATTTGATAATCTCAGGTTATTTTTAAAAATTGTACTATTTAAATGACTTGATACCGGACTATCTGTGTAACGGAAGCGGACAGACTTGAGACTTAAGATTTTGATTTAAAAGTTTCTCCATAACGGACAGATGCGAGCTTGTGAGCTCATGTTCTGAGAAAATTAATCCAATCGAATGTTGTAAACCTTCTTAAAGACCGCATCACCCAACAGAAATATTCCATTTCGTCCAAAAACCCTACTGCATCTAAACTTTCCGAACACGCCCTATTCTCTAATCACACATTTTACTTTGACAATACATCCATATTAGCCTGTCTCCAACCACGACAAGTGATTCACCATAGAGAGCATCCATATTCAATTGTAAAACCAAGCAGTCAATAAAAAAAAACTGACAAACAAACCGTCAACCATCTTCATACCATTATGGTAATAAAAAATATTTTCATTTCATTTCAACTATCTTACCTCTCTCTATTCTCTCTCTGTTTATCATTACAAGTTGAAGTGTCAGTGTAATTTAACATATTTTTAATAGTTAAAAATAGAGAATATCAATTTTCCATACTGATAAGTACAATTTTAATGTGAGACAATTATTTTCTCAGTCTTGTTTTTTTTCACTATAGAGCATATGGAAATAATTAAGTCTCAAAACATTACCAAAATTGTTTTTTATTCATTGAAATAAAAAAAAAGAAAAGAATATATATTATTTTAAAAACCAAGAAAATATAAATTGATATATTTAAATCTTTCTGATTTTAGTACATGCTGTTTGAATGAGGATAAACAATGTTACACATTAATAAAGAGTATCTACGAGTAATTCTGATATTTTATTACAGTCATATATAATTTTTTTTACTGTTTTATTAGGATCTATATTTTATGATATATTACACAATTTTATAATAATCTACAATGGGAGTGACAAGCTAGGTTACTAGTGAGATAGCAAGCCACCACAGAAAACAAATCAAAGAGAACAAAAAGGTTCCTATGAGATTTGTGCTTCTAAAAAAAAAAAAAATTGTGCTTTTACCATCCTAGAACTTACTAGCTAAAGCAATGGCTCTATATCCGAACAGTTACTATGAACCCATTTTTAACAGACTTTTTGTTGATCATAAGTAGTACCTAGGTGTTATGGATAATAATAGCCAACCGAATGAAAAGTCTCTATTCCAGGTACAAAGGCAGCTTGTTTAAGAAACCATTAAACTGTTTCTAACAGTTAGCCAAAAAAAGGTTTTTGAAAAACATTTATAAAAGTCTGAAGAAAAATTAATTAAAACACTTAATAACTCAATCAAAAATATTATTATAATAAGAAATAAATGATAATTTGGCAAAAGAATCAATTTTCTAGATTTGTATCGAGAAAAAAACACAAATAGGCTAGGAATATAGTAGACCTAATGATCTTACCCTTTTCTTATTTGGAAAAAAGTTACATGGAATTGAAACTAGTAACATACTGGTACACATTACTATCATAACAAAGCAGAATAAATTAATTAAAAGTATTATACACTGATATAAATTACTTAAGTAATACGAGAAAACATCATTAAGATTGGGAGTGATAATGAAGGCCTGAAAAATATAACCAGAACCCATTAAATAAAAGCAAATAATGCAATTATCAGGCTATTCCAAGAGGTGAAAATGTAATTTAGTTGTTCGAAAAGTAACTTTTTCACCAGTTATATTAATATAAGTATAATCTTTTAAAGAAAAAAGAATTCTAATATCATTTAGATAAGGCATTAAACAAAGTATACATTTCAACATAAAACTTACAACAGTATTGTATAGTAATACAATAGAGCAGGGTTAATTCACATATATGTTGATTATAGTTACAGTTTCAGCTAATAAAAAGTATATTACAAGTAATTAATTTGTTTGTTTTCTATAATTGATCTTGAAAGTGTGACAATAGTAACATTTAGTAAACTAAATGGGCATTCATGGCTACAAATGAATGCATGATATATTCAAAGTAGTTTTTCTATTTACTTGATATCAGCAAATCTTAGTGAAAGTAAATCCAAAGTATATAGGGAAAAAACTAGGAATCTAGTGAAAATAAAGAGATGGTACGAGTTTTTAAACGTAATGGATTAAAAATTCATTCCCTCAATGAAATCTCCAGATTTCTTTAAAAAACTACTTGTTCATTTAAATACTGCAGCACTCCTTTAAAGGCACAACGAACATTTATCGAAACCATAATTTCACATTAGAAGTATTTGGTTCTTATAAATATGAGTTTGAAACAGGAATTAAAGCTACTGGTAGAGAATGAGAAAAATACTTACAAAGACAGACAAGAACAATTCTTTACTTAATACCAAATTATAACCTCATGTAAACAAGAACGATTAATGTGTTTAAAATTTCAGTCGTTCGGTTAAGATAATTCATTCTCAGAGAAGTGCAATATTGTGACGGCAAGCTTAAAAATACTATATCACTATATGATAAACTATTCCATCATAAAAATATTTTAATAGTATAAATAAAAATAAAACGGCATTAATGAAATAGATATTTGAGATTCATGACCCAAATCATGAAGATCGATTGTTGAAAAGGACGTACCTCTATGAAAGAGAACCTCAAACTTAAGACCCCTGAAGGTAAAGCTTGGTCTTCCCAAACGTAGTGGAACTAGTCTCCTGATACGGCAAAATACCTATAGCCTTGGCCAAAAATATTAGGCAGCCATATATTTTATTAAAACAAATTAAAGGGGGATAAAAATAACACGCTTTCATAACATATGTTTATTTAAACATAAAAAAAGTCAAATTCATATTTTTTCATTAAGCCTTTGGCTTTTATGACCTTACTTATCGTTTTTGGTATAGAATTAACAAGTCTTAAATAATCTTCTTTTTCTATTTTATCCCACTCTTCTTTTAAAAATGAAAACTAATTATAATTGTGTGTTGATGGTTGACTGTAGTGAATGACTGTAGAATATATATATATATGTTGTAAAATAAAAGTATTGTTTTATTATTTTCGGTGGCTTCACTAGACTTGAGTTGAGGATCAGGATTAGATTATTTGAGAAATGGATCAGGATTGGATTTGGTGAAGCATCTTAAGTGGAATGATTTTCTTCTATATTCGTTGTCATATTGGTCTTTGACTAAGTATGATCTTGGTTCAGGGAGAAACTTTGTAATAGATCCTTCTTTCCATCGATCATTTCATTTAACATAGACTGGGTGTCCCATCCTTAAACTCCCCTTGTTATACTTTATTTTTTAAGTTTAGAAGCTCCATTCTTTGGCGCACATCATCGTATGGTATTTTGGGAATAAGGAGATCAATGCCTGCGGGCGCTATGGTTACTCAATATACTGGTTACTGGGCTGAATACTCAAGCCCAAAAAGGAGAGTTGGTCGGTATTCTTGAATGGCTCCATAAATATCACATCCCGAATAAGAGACTTTCATCATCTTCTTCACGACACCTATAACTTTTTCCGGGAGACCATTAGATCTAGGGTAGTGAGGACTAGATGTATACATTTCAAACCACCAATGTTTGGCAAAGGCTGCCATTTCAGCACTACTGAACGGGTTGTTATCACAACGAACAATTTCAGGCGTGACACTAAAAAAAAGACGTGATTACTAAAAAGAATTTTTAGTTTCTTAATTATTTCAGTGGATGTTTTATTCCTGAGTGGTATAATATCCGACCATCTTGAATAGTAATCGTCTACTGCCAGAAACATTTTCGAACTACACTCGCCTATGTCCATACCAATAACTTGAAACGGAAATTAAGGAATTTCAGATGTTACAAGAGGTTCTTTAGGTTAATTGTTTTGGAAGGTTTGACTTGTGGAACATGAATTAATGAAGTTTTGGAATGTATTCGGACATATTTGGCAAATACATAAGGCTCATTGATACGGAAAACAGTTTTGTTTATTCCAATGTGAGCTTTAGAATGAATTTGGATTACGAAGTGACGTCGAAGACTCGGTGGTATAATAATTTTCTCATTATAAAATAAAATTTCCTTGCTTTCCGAAAGATCATACCGGAAACCGTAAAAAAAAAAAAAACATTTATTTCATGTTCCAAACATTTTTTATGAACTCTATCCCAAGCATTACTGATATAATTTCGCAGTTCGCTGAAATCTTTCCTGTTGGCTTCTTGCAATATTTTTATATCCTCTGATGGCACCGGCAACAATTCTTCCAGCGTAATGGCATGAACCACCTGAGAAACGTCAACGTCTTCCGGTCCCTCTTAGTTAAGAAAGGATCTTGATAGCATGTCCGCTATATATATTTTGGAGCTTGGTATATAGAATAATATAAAATTATATTTTAATAGCTTAAGTTGCATTCTTTGGAATCTTGAAGAATATTTATACAGCTCCTTATTGAGCTCTGCTAACAACGGCTTATGATCCGTTAAAATCTCAACATTATTATGACCATAAATAAAGTGGTGAAATTTATTGACCGAGAAGCATAAGCTAAGCATCTCTTTCTCTATCTGACTAATTCATTTCCTCCAGTCTTGCTCGAACAGTGGTAGTGTTAACATCGCGGTTTATCTGTTTGAAGTTGCGGCATTTTTATAGTGAGAGAACAATAGCCCCGATGTTGACAGAGCCGACTTCTCAGAAGCTTACGGCTAACTACATTCAGGCCAGCTTTATCTATTTTATTTTCTCTTTAGTATATATTATTTTCCTATTATTAAAAGTTATCCACTAATATCTTACCTATTCGTGATCATGGGGGAAAGTAGCGAGGGAACAGAGTTATGTTGATCTTTTTTTTACATAATAAAAAAAAGATCAACATAAATACTTGCAGTACTTTAAGGGCTTCTTCATTGTTTTACTTGAAAAATCGACTAATGAAAACATAGCATGCTTTCATGATATGAAAATTGGAAAAACTCTAGGCTTAAATAATTCTCACGTTTTTTTCTATTAAAAAGAAAAATAAACAACAAATTGAAGTTATTTTTAAAACTTACGAATATGCCAACCGATTTTTAGAAAATCAATTTCTTGAATCTAATAAACTAAAAGCATTTATACCGAATTCATATGTTTTAAAACACGGAATAATTAGAGATATACACCCATCTCTCTCTGAAGAAGAAATTCTTAGTGAAATTCAATCAACGGAAAAAATAGTTAAAATTCGCCGTTTCAATAGAAAAATTTAAAATTCCAACGGTACTATTACTACTACATCTACGGGCACCATCCAAATTGTTTTTCACGCTTAACGACTCCCTGACAACATTGCTCTTAACTTAGCCCAAGGAAAGTTTACCCATATATCTTTAAGCCCC